GGATCAGAGGGGGTGTGCATCGACCCGAGAAGAGATGAGTTATTAATTAGCTTTCACATCACGAACTCTCGATGCAAACGTGCAAAGCTCGAAGAAGCCCTGGCTTTCCCGTGGATTAACGCACTCGCCCGTTTCTCTCCAGTTTAACGGAAAAAATGTAAGGGGTTGAGTCTTTTGGGATTATACAGGATTTTCACTGAGATAAAAATTTCGCGAATTGAAAAAAAATATAATATTTCGAAACTCATGAATGAATTTGATGAATAGTCACTGAATAGTGAATTAAAAAAATTTCTTTGACACTTCATTCAGAATTTATCTGTTTTATTTAATTTAATTGAGATTAATTAATCGATGTTTCGATTTCGAGTTGATATCATTATGATATTAAGAGTATATTTAATTCTTTGTACTGCATATTTGTCAAGAAATATAAAATGGACGGAATTCATTGAAAGATTGAATTAATGAACTCATTAATAGTTTCAAAAATATTTTTACCTCATTACCCTACATAATTGAAAAAAAAATGGTCTACGAAAAGAAATAGTCAATTGAAAAAATGATCTGACGATATCGAAACATGTCCGACCCCTGAAACGCGAGAAATACCGACCGGAAAAAACTGAAACTTAAATTGTCACCCAGCCATAAAAGTTATGGCAAACTGTCGTAAAAAATCTCGCCATCAGCAATAACCGGGTGAAGCTAATTATGCCGTGTTCTCGGTTAAGATTTTTCCGTATTAATCTCCCCCATTCGATCAGAATATCTAAAATGAGGAGAGACGAGAGTGCGGGGGGCGATGAAAAAAAGTCGATTCAAACGATCCTTTGTAGCTCGCACAGATACTATCATCTTCCTCTCAATTTTTTTCCCTCCTCTTTTCATCTGTCTCGAATTCAAACTACCCCCGGAATTATATAGGTGAGAGAGGTCTGTGTGTGCAGGCAGTTGCCGAGAGTTTTCTCATCAAAGGCGAACTAATTACGTAGGTATCTGTTGTACCGTATACGAAATGGGGAGAGGGTGGTATCGACTCGTGTTATCCTCGGGGCCTTTCTCCTCCTCTTTCCCTCTTTTGTACGAGTGTTTGCACCACTTGTACATATCTTCAGGTAAAATGAATAGGTAAATGTTACGATTTGCGCGTCATTGACTTTCCCCGTGTACAAGCTACGGTGAAATTTCAGACGTTCTTCACTATCTCGAGAAACATCAGGGAGGAATAACTCACGATGAAAATCTCATACCCTCGGAGATGACGGAAATACGAAGCTTTGTTAAATAATTAATCGATTCATCGCAGAATGTCTCATCTGGCGACGAAATTCAATGCCGCATTAAATCTTTCGTTTTGCCAGTGATGGGGTCGGGTGAATCCAACATTTCTCTCGGAGTTTCATGATAATTGAGAGGAGAATGAGAGACTTCATAATATCGTGGGAAATAGTCGGGTCAAGGGGTTATTTCCCTGATTTTCGTCGCGCTCGTGAAATTTCATTGTTAAATTATGCAAATGACGTAAATATTACGTGAAATCGCAGCGGTTCATTCTGGGGTGATAAAAAGTTTCTCGGGGTCAGAAATATCTTTTTCTTTTGTTGATTCAGGTAATGTGGCAGATAAAATTTTTTTATTCTATTTTCAAGGTTTCAATTTATGAATATGGTGGATTGATAATTGATGATTATTTGGCATTTTCAGATTGGACTTGGCAATTAAGAAAAATATAAATACTGCTGTGAATTTTCCATGCGATTGAGGCCATTACAATAATTTTCCATACGGTAACATTGAGATAATCGCGAATCAACGAAGCGCAACGATCGGATAATCCTCGGTTATAATGATAATAATTTTTTTTTTTCAATTTCGAATGAAATATCGTATTCGCGTATTAATTTCCCGGTGTTTCCCACGGGCTGTCATAAACCATGCACCGCCACGCCCCGTATTGCGTTAATTTAACGCTTTTGGAGTTGCTTTTTCCGTCGAGAAAATTGCGACTAATTGGTGGTAGATTATTTGTCGTTTTATTTTAAATTCTGTATCAAAAGAGCGGGTTATCTGCAATTAATGGGTTTACCTACGATTGAAAGTGTTTTGACCATTTTCAGACGGTGGGACAACGACTAACAAGGTGTCGAAGCGAGCTAAACCACTGGATCCAGAGGACGATTACTACTACTACGACGACGTCGAGGAGAGGAACAATCCGACGAATGAGGGACCAGTCGTACCACCGGGTTTTCTCAGTCCATCCGTCAGAGAGTATCTCGACCTCGGAAAATCTATTCCTGGTACATTTCATTAGAATTCAATTGTAGGGATATTAAATGAGCATTCATAAATACTATTCGAATATAAAAACGAGGAAAGTAAATCAATCTCGAAATATCTCGACCAAACGCACGACGAAACTGACCCGCCAATTTTGAATAATTGAAAAATGTAAAAAATTTTTACATTTTTTACATTCTTTACATTTTTTTTACGTTTTTTTTTAAACGCGAAAATTTGGGAATCATCGTGGAAACCAATAAAGGAGGTCTAATTATTGAAGAAATAAATACGACCTTTTTTTTTAAATAAATGAATTGATGAACAAGTGTAGTACAACTCGTTTAATCAAGGAAATACTGGAGGAAAGAATAAATCCGGGAAATTCCGGTAAATCAGGGTATCGATATGAAATTTAATTCATAAACGAATTCAGGTCGACCGTGCGTGACATTGATGCATGTAAATGAAGTCAGGACAGCGAAACCACTGGATAATTCTTGTTTAAAAAAAAAAAGTTGGCTTCCTCCTCAGTTTCTGTTTCATACGGATTTTTTGTTTTCATTCTGGCGTTCTCCCTTGTTTCTCCACAGCCTGTGCTTCATTCGTGACAGTTTTTCGTGCGGAAACGAGAGAGCGGTCCAGCTTAACGAGAATAACACCAGCCGAGGGTGTAAAACTCTAGCATCTCTATCAGCTTCATCCCCCTGTTTCTCTCGCATTTGTGTTTTGGGTGTAGAGGGAGTGGAACGACGAAAATGCGAGGGTCTGAAATGCAGTGGGTGATGGAAGAGGGAATGAAGCGACGATTTAGCCGGATGCTCGTGGTTGGCCGTGGTATTTCGGTTCAGTGAACCTACCGACATCCTATTTGGAATAACAGTAGTTTGCACAACTAACCATCAAATATTTCCCACCGAGAATCCTAATTAATTGGATTTTATTAATTTTTTTTTGTTCTCTTTTTATCGTCCCGCGCGCGCTGGTACTCACGCAAAATTGGAAAATTCTGGGGTAAATTTCAAATGAAAAGAAAGGAAATTTATGATTAGTGCAGTTTTTTTGAAGATTCTGGTTATTATCAATTTTCATTCTCATCAAAGTTAAATTAAAAATTCAAGCTTTGATTGAAATATCAATTGACGGATAAAAAAATTTGTAAAAAAATATATTTCGATAACAAATATTTTTTATCCGGGATTATCACCGAATACGGAACCCTGATTTTCTCTTTAAGGATAAACGGAAAATCCAGAGATCGTTTTCTCAAATTTGAAATGAAATTTAAACCCACAGAATAGAAAATTCCGACAACTTTGTTAGTGAAACTCCAATAAATTTCCATCTGCAAAATTTCCACATGTTGAATTTAATTTCGGAAAATACTTTGGAAAATCAAACACGATTCCATTGACTCGTGGAAAGGGAGTTTTGAGGCGTGAGTACTTATACTCCAGTGGAAGTGGTTGAAGAACGCCGGTGTCATCTCGAATATAGGGGGACATAGAATAGGGTACGTAGGTGAGGGTTGTAAGGGGTGAAAAAGGAGAGGGGAATGGAAACGCTCGCCTCTCGTGGCACTCAGATAGGATAATGAAATACCAAGGCCCCGATCCCAGGAGCCGTATAGAGAGGATGGCTCCAGCATTTCCCACCCCGAGAATATATTTCTCACCCCAATTCACTCTTCAACATTCTACTCTAATACTGTAGTTTTTATTACTCTCTCCGTTCTTTATTTCCATTTTCCAACTCCGAGGAATATATTTTTTTTTATAGAACATGTAGACGAAAGAGTGAATCGTCTAGAAATTTTCCCAGACTCACGTGTTTATTAATATTTCATAGTGCAGAGTATAAATTGAATTGTTTAAAATAACGAAAATTAATCCCCTCGGAACAA